TTTTTATGATATCTTAAAATTTATATTTTATTCAAAAATAAAATCATTATTGTTTTMTTAAAAACACATAAAATCGTATTATAACATCGACATTGACAAATAATAAAATAGAACATTAAAATCGAGATGTGTCCTGCTGCATTGCGCGAGTACTCTTCTAGTTCAATTAAAAAATATTCATAAATTTAATCGTTCAAAATAAAAAAGTTCGTTGATTATAATAAGATTAAGGATTTATTTATTCAGTTTAAGTAAGCTCCATTTCAAAAAGTTCAAAATTTTATTTGTTAAAAAAAGTCTAGCAACTTATTCGTTTAATTTAAACCGTTGAATAACACCAATGTTTGACGACTCATTTGAAAAATCACTTGTTCATTCGTAAGACACAATCTTTTTCGAATTCTCGCAAACACGTTTTAAAAAAAGGAAGTATATCTCTTTATCCATGAGGTTCTAGGTTCAAATCCAAATAGAAATAAAATCCTCTTTGTGGCCATGGAGGTTCAAATGCGGTAATTTCGGGCTATCTGTAAAGCATGTGGTTGTTCTGGGATTAGTCAGTTTGCATAGCGGGTTGGATATCCAGGTTAATAAAAAAAATCAAAAAATATATATTTTTAAACAAAGAAAATAAGAAATATTACATCTTTACAAATATATATATATATATATATATATATATATATCTCTTGAATATTTAGTATATAATAATAGTGAAGTTGTTTTTGGAAGGTTTTTATTTTTATTTTGAAGAAAAGGATGAATATATACTTTGGGTGAGATATGATTCGTCACGATGGAAAGTGAAAAAACTATTAATTTTTTTTAAAGAGTTTTTTTTTTGGTTTATGTTAAGTAATTAGAATAAAATGTTATCCACACCATCTCATTTAAGTTATGTAAGTAAAATAAAATACAGGATTAACCGATTTAAAATATAACAATAGATTGTTTAAAGTACAACATTCTAATAAAAATAATTTGAGTAAGAAAAAAAAAATGGAAGTATAATATTTTAATTATGAAAGGGTAATGTCATATACACCCATTTATGTAAGAACAAGGTCAATCATGTAGTGGAATGTAAAAAGTAAGTCTTGTTGTTAATGTGTGCGCGAAAATTGATAGGTAAGCCGTAAGGGTACATTTAATGATATATGGATGCATTTAGCCGACCTCTTATAACATTTATAAAAATAAGTTGTTTATTTCATATATTTAACCTTAATTAATAAAGTAACTACAAATATTCTAACAAATATTAACGATGTGTTATTGGAACATTTTTTACATAGAAAAAGAAAAGGGGAAGGAAAATGAGAAAAATAAAAAAAAATTGTTGTTCTAAAAAACCCGAAAAGAAATGAATCAGAACGAACATAAATTATAAGTTTCTTTCTAAAACTATTTTTACCCATAACCGCTTTTTCTACGCGTCAAAGGGACCGTCTATTAGTCTCTTTAATATAACATGAATTTTTATATTTTATTTTATTTATTACTCATTTCCGAAAATTTATGGTTTTAATATGGATATAACAGGTATATATGAGTTATTGTTCTCTAAAATATTCTAATAGTTTTGCTATCTTGTTTTTTAAAATAGAGAATCATGGAGAAAACTTTAAATGTATAGAATTCTCTAAAATTTGATGTTATGAGAGAAAATTGATTATTTTATTTAATTCCACCAATTAGATTGAGTTATTATTTTTTATAATTTTTTTTTCTAATAAAAATGTATTAAAATGATAAATTAAAAAATCTTATAATAATATAATTTATATTAAAATCTCTAAAATAAAAAAACTCTTAGAGATAAAATTTTCAAGTTGCTTCACATATTTGTACACAAGCTGTGATATTGATACAGTTTATTTTAAATAGTATTCTAAAATGACCAAAGTGTCCCTTGGGCTTTAACAAAAGAATTTGACGGACCTAAGAGGAAGGGACCTCTCTCATTTGAGTGAAATTTAAGGGCTGTTTATTAAAAACTTAGGCAATAAGTCTTTATCGGTAAAATTCAATATTATTATTTATTTATCGGGAAAGATTTTACTCTACGAAAACAACATCATATGCAATAATCTACCCGATAAGCTCGTACCATGGTAAGAGTGCTTCACTTACCAAATAAGACTCTTGTTCTTTGTCTCGCACTTACCGGGTAAGATTTTTGGTATTTGTCATATTCATCCCGTAGAGGAAGGGACCTTCTCATGTGAGTGAAATTAAGCGGCCGTTTATTAAATACTTACCCGATAAGTGTTTACCGGTAAAATTCAACACTATTACTTATTTACCGGGAAAGATTTTACTCCACAAAAACAACACCGTATGCAATAATCTACCCGATAAGCTCTTACCATGGTAAGAGTCGTTGTCTTCACTTACCGTATAAGACTATTGTTTCTTGTCTCGCTCTTACCGGGTAAGATTTTTGGTACTTGTCATATTCATCCGGTAAAATAATGACTTGGTAAGCACTTAGCCGGGTAAGCGTTTGATAAAGGGCTCCTAAAACATTAATGATAATTGATGACTATATATATATTTCTTTATGTGGTTCACTCTCTTGAAATTTCAATAAATTTGTAATYTGATGAATATTAATCTTGAATTATTGACTCCGCTCGTTTGATTTATATATTCATCGATTTATATGTAAAATTGAGATGAAACACGTCTAAAATGAAAAGGAAGAACCCACCATTCATAACCAATGAAGCAGCAGCAACAAAACAAGAGTTTATAACACTAACACACCATAATTAACACCTTTAATGCAATACAACTAATACTTCCATTCATATATGTATCAACTGAATTCACCATCAAACTCGAACAGGAATTCTGGGAGATGATGCACCAAGTCTTCCCTTGGACTCTCCGATCCTTTTAACCCACCTAAGCAACTCTCCAGGCGTCGAGTGATCTGCTTCAACATCTCCCGTCGCATCGCCATTTTAAATACCAGYGGTAGCGCTCGGTCTCTCATCATTCGAGACCAAGTCACACAGTCGAATTGGGGGTGTGGAATATGGTAATAACACCCGTAGAAGAATGGGTGCTCAAGTGCCTCTTTGGCTGTTGGCCTTGCGCATGGACTCCATGAAAGGAGGGTAGAGATCAGATTGATTGCTTCTGGGCTTGCACATGGTATCAATGAGGAAAGATCCACMCCCGGAAACTCTGGAAACCGATAATTGATATTATTCGCAAGATACAYTCCCAAGCTCCATGTGGTTTCTGTTGGGGTGCCGATCACGCTGCAAATCTTACGCATTACCTCTGTTGCAGAAGAACCGTCAAACAGTGGTCGGAGGGTAAACAATTCAACCATGATGGCACCCATSGCCCACATGTCAACCGAAGAATCATGTGCTCGCGCATGGAGAAGAACCTCVGGGGCACGATMCCAGCGTGTTGTAATGTAATCGGTGTATGGAGGTTCGCCATTGATCTCACGAGCTTGACCAAGATCCGCAATCTTGATCACATCCTTGGAAACTAGAAGGTTGTCCGGTTTAAGGTCGCGATGGAAGTAGCCGGCTTCRTTATGCATGTATGCAAGACCTTGAAAGATTTGGAAGCATAGGTTTCTGATCTCGATTTCGGAGAAGGGATTTGTTCGGTGTCTCATACGATGCCAGAGAGAGCATTCCATGTATTCAAACACCAAGAACAGTATGTTGTTTTGTACAACGGCTTCTTTGAGCTTGACGATGTTAGGATGATTCCTCATCTTGCATAGTGACCTGACTTCTCTCAGATTCATGCATTCTTTACTCGAATAATACTTTCTGTCGGTCATCTTCTTGACTGCAACCAGYTCTCCGTTCTCTGTATTCAATGCTTTAAAGACAACCCCATATGACCCACGCCCAATTTCTCTGATTCTTTGATATTTTTCCATTGTTTATAGCCCTTGATCTCAAGGAAACAGACACAAAACGTAGAAGAAGATTAAGAAACTTCGATAGACAAATGCAAAGATATACACCCTGATGGTGAAGAAGAAGTTGAAGCATAGTATATATTGAGAAGTGGTGTTAATTTATAGTGATTGAGAAGAGTTTAGATATGGAAGGTTTTAGAGTTTAGGAATTATACTTCTCTTAGGATCATATTTACTTTCCTTTTCATGATTTGGCTCCAAAGCTGTTCTTCCCGATATTTCCGCAGTTAAACAGATCTACATCACAAATAAGGAAACAAAATCTTCCATAGTTCAAATGTGCAATCAACTAAACATAAACATTCATTATAATCAAGTGAAAATATATAACTGTGGAAAACCTGAAATTATGTTAGGATTCGTATCCACAAAATTGGTGATTATGATGCTTCCATCTGACCTGCCTTCGATCGTTAAACTTCAAACTGACTTCATGATCACCAATTCTGTTTAACGGAGGATTCAAAACCATGTTCATACGGACTCCAAATCGGGAATCGTTGGAGTAATGAAATTAAAGAAGGATGTTGTATTATGAGATGCGGATACCGAGCTTGAAGAAAAGGATGGAGCTGTTTTGGTAGAAACATTCCGGTGGAGAGAGTATTCCGGCGGTCGGAGGAGAAGAATGAAGCGATGGTGTGGGCGGGAAATAACCTGTGTGATTTACTTTTAATAAATTAAATAAAAAAAAAGAAAATAATAAAAATAAAAAATAAGTGCGGGCTATGGGGTTCGAAACGATGCACACTTATTTATTGTTTTGAAGTTTTTCGCCGTAAACGATTTGAATTTAATTATTTTGGAGTTATTACACATTAGTTATTGATGATGAGGTAATTTCTCATCTTGTCATGTCATATTTTATTATGTTTAATCTTGTTCTGACAAAAAGTTGTATACGTTTTACAGGCTGACAAAATCCCAAGGTTCATTACAATAGGGGATAGAGTCACGGAAGTCCCCGTGTATATAGATTGTTTGGTTTTTCTGGCGGTTGCAGGTTCAAAGCCAGTTTTCCAAGCTATAAGAGATGAGCCAATGAAAGATCGGTCACCTCCCAAAGAACCAAGAAACTTGAAAAGTCTTCTTGCCCCTGTTAAAAAATCGGTTGTATTAGCTTACACTTTGAAACCATTTCTACTTTTTTAATGCTACTTTTTTCCTTGCATAAATTCAATGTTAATACAATTACTTATTTGGTTGTCAGTAGATAACTTTTCGCGTTTTAACACGACCAATTTTGAAGGCCTTCTTTTTTTAACCGCACTTTTCGATATGTTAATTTTTTTTAGTTATGGTTCAAATTGTATATTCATGTCTCATCGATATTTTTAAACCTAAGAGGTTAATATTTTTTGAACAGTCAATTTATACCGTTAGAAACAAGATCGTGATTTTGATGATGATGCTATATCCAAGACCTGATGGTGTTAGACTCGATAGGATATCAGAATCATTTCAATGGTAACGGAGATGGTGAACAATGTTTGAAGCCAAATGTTGGCAAGAATGGATTTTTTTTAACCTGAATATCCAAGGTCAAATCATGTATTGAAATGTAAAAAATAAGTCTTGTTGTCAATGTGTGTGCGAAAATGGTAGGGAAGGGTACATTTTATGTAACACACCAGTTACCGAACCACATTTAATGGATAGATCTAAAGCTAAATTTCAAGTTCAACCTCAACGAAATACAGGATACATGTATATATATATATATATATATATATATCATCAAAAGATAAGTTTTAGATCAACTTTTACATCAAAAGAGCCGAAAGTATTCGTCAAAAAAAAACTTCAACCCTGAAAGAGTGAAAATTTCTATCCAAAAGCATAAACTACCGTAAACCAAAATATGACGGTCCTTGATTCCAACACGAACTATCAACGATCTACAACTTTCTCTTTGCTCTTAGCTTCTTTTCCTGAAAGGTTTACCACCAAAAGGATAAGCTAACAAAGCTTAGTGAGTTTAAATGGATATCATGCACATCATGACTCATGTAAGTACATTTATAAGAAAAAAAATCTAGAAGTAAAAGAGGCAATATTCATCAAAAACTTGAGTTAACGAGATATAGAATTTCAAGGAAACAACAAGGACAATCAGATGAATTCATAACGCAAACACTTCAATAATCAAAATCACGCTATGCACAATTAATACATTAACCAACAATTTAAATTAAAACAACAGACAATTATTAGGTTTGACCGACCAATCCGTATCCGTCCACTCTCGGATGGTGTACAAACCCTCTACTCATCTTCCTGCAATAACCGTCCTCCATCCCCGGACAGATGAGTAGGGACAGCCCCTCCGGTTGTCTCACCCGGATCCAAAGGTGTCCGACAACCGGCGCCCAACACATGAACAATGTTAGGACCAAAATTGATTCTAATTATTCTAAAAGTTTTATCAAGCAATCGGAACAAGGATGGAAGATCTAAAGATGTTGTGCTAAAATGACTAAGTCTGAATGACCAGAGGCCTCTTTGTATAGACCAGAGCCTCTCTGGATGAGAGAGGCCTCTCTGGTATAGACCAGAGCCTCTCTGGATGA